AATGTGTATAAGATGTATGATATGGGAGAAAACCAAGTCACTTCAAGTTTAATTGACATTTGCGAGAGTTCTGTAATCTTAAACCGTGGAACGTTTGTGGGGTATCAAACCCTTCCTAAGGTACAGTGTATTTATTTTCTGCGCATTTGGTAATGAAAACGCGACGATGTTAGTATCAATTAAGAGATGTAAATTTACATTTGAGTTTAATAACAGACATTACAAGAACATGTTTTATTGGAATGGAGCGTTTAATCAGCCCCTAAAAGTTTCTCCGGTAATAGACATTGTGAGTGAGCGAAGTACTTACAAATGTGTACAATCCCTCAGTCAGAAATTAACGTTCTGCTACATTTATCTCGAGACCAACCAAGTGTGAGAGATAAAACCTCTTAACAAGGAACCGAGGGTATAATTTTGTGTTGCTTCGTTAAAGCTTGTTATTATTATTTAGTGTTCTGTCTGACCACAGGTCCATATGAACAGGATCCTTTCATCCTTTCCTCGGACTGGGACCTGTTCATATACGTTCTTGGCAGATGATCCAGAAGTGGTTTGCCATTGCCTTCTTCTGTGTGTGAATGGAGTAATTGTTGGGATGCCACGGAGGAAAACTCCGTGTTGCCTAGACCACGGCCTTGCCCAACACAAGTTGTAAATTCGGGCACCGCCGGGAATCGAACCCGGGACCCCAGGATTACAAGGCCAGCGTTCTAACCGCTAGACCACCGTGGCGGTATGGTTAAAGCTATCGCATACTTAATGGGGCAGTGGTAGATTGTGGATGGGTCAAATGGTGTAACAATGATCAACAAAGGAAAATTGAGGATCTCGGATAAAAAACTTGCTACAATGCCACTTAAAACACTAAGAATGTCACTTGAAGTCACCTGGTGTGACCATTCGTCTGTGCGTGTAGCCAGCCTTCTTAACAATGGCACGTCCTTAATATGATACTGAAATGTTACTAATTTTATTTCTGTACGTGTAATTAAAGTGAGCAGGTAATTCTTAGTATTGATTGTTTCTTAATTTAGTACACAATTTTGACTTCTCTCTTTAATTAACTTCTTGTAATTCGGAAGGCGTCAATTTCAACGTGTAATTTTAAATTCCGTCTTCCGGTTGTGCTTCGTGATTGTACAATATAGTTTACAATCTTGTTCAATAGAATTTTTAATGAGTTTCGGTGTTTAAATTAATTAACAGTGGTTTCAAACATCTGCTACAGTAGGGCACTACATACTAGCCCAGTTGTCATGGCCAACTCGATCGACTGTTCACGTTCAAGACATGTTTCTTTGTCCGGCCGCAGTGTGGCGTTAGATGATTAGTCTGAAACATGGATGTTTCATTTTGCTGTGTGTGTGGATACATTTCACGGCGTCCTGTAACGAAGCAATGTGACTTGAGGATAATTAAAGGACGCTGGTCGTGTGTGTGTACTTGGTGTCTAGTCCGCCGAACCTGTATCGATCCTCGTGGTGACGAAGTGCCTCAACGGACCAACTACCTTTGCCGGAGCGTATCACTTCTGTTCAGAATTTGGGGGAGTTTCGCAGAAATCGCGTGCATGTCTGTGCGCTCGCCATTTTAGTTTCGGAGCATGAAATGGGTGGAAGAGGTTAGTTTAAAAATATAAGTTTGTGACATCTGCTTAAATTTTACTTTAAATACACAGAAAACTGTGTCAATGGTTAATGATTGTGTTGTTCAAAACTCCTGGTTCAAATTTAGGATTGTATGGCGGATAGTAAAAGTCATATTATGAAATAAGAAATTAAATTCAGAATAGTCAATTGGAACTAAGAAGTAATTTATTCTTAAGGTTTTATCTTTTAATAATCTTCCGAGATATTTTGTTAAATTTGAAGAAGAATATTGTAATTCAGTCAAGATTTTGATTAATCATTTTCAGACTAGAAAAGTCATTCTCATAACTATGATCTTTATGAATAGAGTATGGAATTTTAAAATTGCTTCCCATTAATTTTATAGCTTTCAATAACAAGACGAGTACACATGATTTCTTTAAAATTTAAATCATCAAAGAAATGATAACATCAAAACTGTCAAGGGCATAAAGGATTTAAAAATACGGGCACAATGATTAATTTTATTATATCGCATTCAGGGTGTTTGACTTAATGTTTGTTTGCTAATTTTTTCCTCGTGACTTTACGGTTTTTTCGAAATTTTGAATGACTCTATCTATACAGACAGGGAATAACACCAATGCCTCGAATGGGGTTCGAACCCACCCACGATCGCACTATCAAGACTCATGCTCCAGACCGCGTTTTCACCGGGATCAGCAATTTGTATTTTCACGAAATAATATTGGATTCGTCAAAACAAGGAGAATAGATGGGCGATGCGTGTAGCATACAGAGTTTTTGGTCGAAAACCAACAAGAGAAGGGACTTGGACGTACATAAGAAGATAATATTGACCACTAACGTCGAAGATCTTCTAAATATTATTTGAGAATTCAGTCCGTACCGCAGAGAAAACGTAACACTTCACCATTAAAGGAGTAATCGCGGTTTACACTGGGAATTATGCAGAAAACATAAATACAATGTAGAGTTACTGATTGTTAAAGCGGGTGGTACATATAGTTACCGCCGGACATCAAAGAGGTAATCATTTACGTTTAGTAATAGACTGTGAGGGAGTGGACGTTCTTTAGTTCTTGTGATCGCGGTAATTAATTTAGGTTTGTTGAGTAACTTCTGTTGGAATTTAAATTCAGATCATTTCGTTGTGATTCTATTTACGGAACGAGAGGGTTGCGTTCTGTGCTGTACATTTTAACATGAGCCGGCGTAGTTCAGTTCAGTCAGCATAGTGACTGGCTAAGGACTGGTCGACCGGGGTTCATTCCCCGACGGGGGCAAGAATTTTTCCTCTAGCCTCTACGTCCAGACCGGCTCTGGGGCCCACCCAGCCTCCTCTATAATGGGTACCGGGGTCCTTTCCCGGGGGTAAAGCCGGCCGGGGCGTGATGCTGAACACTCACCCCCATCTAGTGTCAAGGCTAAAAATGAGTCGGACCTATACCCCAACTCCCCCAAGCGCCACCATGGCGTGTGGTGATGCAGATATTTTTATCGAGACCATTTTTGAGTTGGCTCTGCTATCAGGTGAATCATTATTAAATTGTCAGATTCCTTATTACTTCTAAATTACTGTCCTCTGGTATTTAGCACCGTGTAATCTGGTACATCTACCACGGTGGTCTAGCGGTTAGAACGCTGGCCTTGTAATCCTGGGGTCCCGGGTTAAATTCCCGGCGGTGCCCGAATTTATAACTTGTGTTGGGCAAGGCCGTGGTCTAGGCAACACGGAGTTTTCCTCCGGGGGCTTCCCCGGTTTCTCCGTGGCATTCCAACAATTACTCCATTCACACACAGAAGAAGGCAATGGCAAACCACTTCTGGATCATCTGCCAAGAACGTATATGAACAGGTCCCAGTCCGAGAAAAGGATGGAAGGATCCTGTTCATGTGGACCTGTCGTCAGACAGAACACTAAATAAATAAATAATCTGGTTCATACTGACCTACGTTTTAGAGTAGCTTACTGCCTCCATCATCATGTAAATTTATCATTAATAAAATAAATATAATGTTTATTCTGCGTTAGGCGGGGTTAATTTTTTATATTTTATGTATTTATAGTTTCTTAGAAAATGCTTGTGTTTCAAATGTAACTAATGTAACATTTTATACGCAATTATTACGCTATGGGTTTCATATCATAATGTAATTAAGTTAATTATATTTAACTAATAATACGATATTGGTAATAACGTTATTAATAAAAATAGTACCAAACCAGACAAAAGCATTGAAGACTATATCCTCACTTCGGCGACCTTTTTAATTCTTTATTTATCTTGTTCAAAAACAATTGCCGAAATATAATTAATTAAAGCACGGCAGACCAATTCGACGCTTTTGAAACGAATTTGCAAAAATGCGCCGATTAGCTTTGCCATCTGTACCAACAACGATTTTCATGGAGACTTACAAGTTTTATAAACACATTGCGATTTTGGTTAAAATCAGGCATAAAAAGACATTTCTTGAAGACCTGCAAACGTTTTTGTGTGCCTCGCGATCGTAATTCGAAAATAATAGATTCCGGTTAATTGGGCTATCCATTAATCGGGGGCAGCTGTTTGGTTGGGACAAATCTTAAAGAACAGTCCTTTTTAACTTCGCATAACTGGGGCAGCCACTTAATTGGGGCAAAGTGTACTAGTTCCGATGTGTCCCAGTTAACCGGAATCCACTGTATTTATCAAAGCGAAACACATTTGGAATAGTTGAAGGGATTACTGGACACACAGTCTTAAGAACTTAGAGATAATTACGTCTTACATCTAAACTCGAGATTCATTGGACTGATTTTTGACATTTTTAAGGGCTTTGCTTGTTCGACCAAAATTTTTTTTACGTTGTTGACATTCACGAACTAATAAAAAAAATCAATAACGGAACTAACACTCCACAACTGTTACGCCTTGTGTACATTTAACTTTCTTATCATAGACATCATTATTCACTATGCCAGCGACAACATTCGGGCATTTTCGGGTGTTTACGTGAGAACGAAGTCGCAGAGTTGAACTCTGGGCCTGAGTCAGCTTCGTCGGGTGTTGGGGTGGGGGAGTTACCCGAGGTTCGACTGTCGACTGTTGCTAACAACTAGCTTTGGGTGGCTGGCTCGGTAGGCAGTGTGTAATGACGGGGTGCATTGCGGGCAGGTAGAAGCGGCCTTCAAACGGGGCAAAAGTCCGTGAGCCGAGCAAGGAGCCTGAGAGTGTTTACAAGTTGAAAACGAAATCGACCAACTAAAAACAAGTGAATAAATTAGTGAGAAATTTTTGTAAATCAGTTTTTAATTTCTCTGTGATTGATTTTGGTGTTACTATATTTTCGTGTTAAAGGAAATATTGGTGCTAATGAATGGATGGAATCTAAGTTTCTTTTGAAACAGAGTGTACACAATTTCGTTGATGTGTTATCTCGATAACTTCATTTCTGTCCATCAGTTATTCTGGTGCTATGGTTATATAGCCATCCGTTCGTGACGTCATTAATATTATAGGAAGTTTTAGTAAATAAAATACCGTAGTGTTATATATTTATGATGACATAAAAGAATTTTGCAAATGAAATTAGGTTTTGAGAAATAGTCTAATACGTATTACTATATAATCGCACACTAGGTTTGAAAGTGCTTCATAATCACAGGTGCTATTAGACTTTAAGGTATAAAACACGGAGTTTAAACATTTTGATTGTCAGTTTTCATCTGCAGTAGTCGTTTCAGAACGTTACAGTGGACACTAATTTCATTTGTTGTTTGACTTTGGAGTTGCCTAAGGAAATGTTTATCATAGAATCGGTTAGTAAATTAGTTTAGATATTTAGACATTTTAGGCATTTGATTTATCAAGCATATTCATGGCGGGCAACGTTTAAAATGTGTAAATAACGCTTAAATACACTTTATGTACTTAAGACGCTTACGAAACAGCTCAAAATTACGTTTTATAACAAATATAACTGTTTTTATATAGCCGCATTGTACTGTTCTAAACCGGAAGTTACCTGCACAGACTTCCGGCTGGAAAGTAATGATCTTCTTCTGTCTGCAATAAAAAGTGTCTGATCTAAACCGAAGAGCTCTGAACACACAAATCCAAGACAATAATTTATAGTGGATGAAGTTTTTGCCATGGTTCTGTTTCCTAGGCAACCGTGATTGTTTATTGAGTAGTGGAACTTAACCTTCAAGATACCATGTCTTCGATCGTTTTGTGCAGCCTTGGCAACAATAATGCCACCAACGACACCAACAATAACCAAGAGGAAGAGGAAAGCTTCCCTATCCCAACACTATATCGGTACGTCACTACTTACATTTTACAAATTTTTTTGGAAACGGGGGAGATTTGAATATTCCTCCCGTTAAGTCCGATCAAGCCGCCACGGTGGTCTAGCGGTTAGAACGCTGGCCTTGTAATCCTGGGGTCTCGTGTTCGATTCCCGGCGGTGCCCGAATTTATAACTTGTGTTGGGCAAGGCCGTGGTATAAGCAACACGGAGTTTTCCTCCGGGGGCTTCCCCGGTTTCTCCGTGGCATCCCAACAATTACTCCATTCACACACAGAAGAAGGCAATGGCAAACCACTTCTGGATCATCTGCCAAGAACGTATATGAACAGGTCCCAGTCCGAGAAAAGGATGGAAGGATCCTGTTCATATGGACCTGTCGTCAGACAGAACACTAATAATAAAATAAAGTCTGATCCAGTCGTATAACAAATAATTTCGTTTCACGGCTTCGCTGTTTGGGATGTACGCTGTTTCTTTTAGGGCGTTTTACGGAATGTCACGTATGTTCTGAAAGTATGAACGTATTGATTAATGTATTGTTGTAGTTTCGACAAGCTGTATTTTTCCGTATCGTCTTTCAAATACAGACGTCAGTTTTATGTTGATATTGGCTGTTTTTTATTAAATTTGGTGTAACCAGCATTGGAGGCGATTCTAGCTATATAATACCAAGGTAATAATCGTCAATATTACCAGCGTGTTTGCCGTTATGTTTATTAATTTAAGATGCGAACAATAGTAACACGTTGAAGCGTCTTTTAAGTGAACTTATCGAACGTGTGGCATTCGATCATTAACTTGATACACTTTATGTGAGACTCAGAGTGACGTGTACAAACATGTTTTTAGCACTTCTAGTATTATGGTCTATATATTAAAATATTTCGGAACCTCACAGTGCACTAATATGAGAAGTTACGTAACAATATTTTGTTTTGTAGAAACGAACAAAACTTATGCAGTATTTTTTTTTATTTCTGTACATTACACAAGGCAGTAAATGATTTGCTATTAAATACTAAAACTTTTATACGGATGCTAAAAATGAAATCGTTACCGGTCGCCCTCGCCCGGACTTTGTGGGCGAACATACCACTGCATGTCATAGTTACAGTGAACTCGCTGTGTGTCTGGCTCTGAATTATCTATTGATCAGAAGTGCTCCATAACTGTCATCGAATGTTTGGCAGATTCGATATAACTCGAATGGTTGAATTTGCAGCAATTGTATTTCTTCTGACATAAAAAAAATATACCGCTGTAACTGTCATTTGAATTCTGCCGAGGGAAATGTTTGCTCGATTTTCACGTCTGGAAGACCACGGGTTCTGATTTTGTTTGCTTGTCACGAAACCAACTCTGCTGTTTGTTTGTTTGTTTTTTCCGGTGTCCAGTACACACCATTCAGCATTGTGGTTAGTAGGATTCACGACCCATCAGTAACGCTCCTGCTGAGACCCCCCTTTCTGCGAGATGACGATGATGATGAAAGTGGAGTAATTATTGGGATGCCACGGAGAAACCGGGGAAACCCCAGAGGAAAACTCCGTGCTGCCTAGACCACGGCCTTGCCCAACACAAGTTGTAAATCTGAGCACCGCCGGGAATCGAAACCGGGACCCCAGGATTACAAGCCCAGCGTTCTAACTTCTAGACCACCGTGGCTGTTATAATGCAAAACAAAAGAATAAAGTTCAAGGACATAATGAACACTTGACAGGCTCTTTCAAAGAATGGATTATAATGACATGAAATATCCATGATGTTTAATTACATAAATACATAAGAAAAAAATTCACTCTGAGATGATCCACGGAAGTAAATCTTAATAAAATGCAATACAGATATGTTACCGGTCCTTGGAAAACCAACTTCTGTTTTTCCGGCACGTGAATATCGACAGGTAGAAAACTAATAGACTTACTCATATGGGTGACTGAACTATCATAACCTCACCTAACTTAAACTAACAGTACCTAACCTAACCCAACCCAACGTAACCTCGTGTTACGTAACCTATTATGGCTTAACCTTTCCTGTCTTCACCTAACTTAACCAAACCTAACCTAACCTAACCTAACCTAAGCTAAGCGTGTAATCTAAACATATATAAATGTACCTAATTTAACTTTAACATAACCTCACATTTTCCAACCTAACTTCTAAATCGTGCGGTGGTAAATATGAATGACTCTTGAAATAAAACAGGAAAAATATAACATAACACAGCCTCTACTGTGCTTACAGTTTTGCTATCTTTTTTTGAGGGGGGGAGGTGTATTTGACAACATCGCCGAATGATCGTTGTCACATTCATACCCACTCATAACCGCAATGACTATTGCTTCTCACAGTGAAATGTATTTGTAGCCTCTGCTACAGTTAGTCGTGGGTCACTAAGCTTCCTCGTGCTTCACTGGAGGTTAACGGGTTGTCTAACTAGGCAGGCGCTACAGTAATCGACATGAAAATACTGGAACTGACTGATTTCCAGCTGAAGGCTTTATTACAGTTGTCTAGTGACTCAGGTTTAATCCCTGAGAGGGATACAAATTTTTCGCTGAGCTGTTGAACTGTCCTGACTTGGAGTGGTTACATATGTCATATGCAATCCGGCATATCTTGAGCGGATGGACATTTGCAAAACGTAAAATAACACTTTCTGTTCGCAGCAGTTACTAACTAACTAGATGGCTTTGTGAACCCGAAAGTTCATCACCGAATTAACCAAAGCCCTCCACCGGACCCTGTCCTCGGCCAACAAAATCCAATCTCCTTCAACTCCTATTGCCTTACAAAGAAACTTTGAAACACTTTTGAAATTTTGGCGTGTGTAGTTATAGCAGAATGTTAGTATAATTATAAGAGACAATGCAATATTAATGGTCTGTGAAATTTTTTAGACTAGCTGAGGAAGTATCTGGCTTCTGTGGAAGTACTCGGCTTTGTCGTGTCAGTTATTAGGAAGTTACTTTTTATTACTATGTAGATTGTTCGAAAACGTTCAGAATGATTAAGATTTAACTGATCATTAAACTTATATTTCCAACATACGATATTTTAATTACAATGCTGATATAAAATAAAGCCAATTTGTATTTAAATGTAAATACTGAATGGAACATTTTTATATTAGGGCCTATTTAATATCAGGTAAGTTGTTGGGAGTCAGGCGTGGTGAATACTTGAAGTCTTTGATCTAAATATGAATCAGAAGATCATATTTCTAATCTTGGCAACACGGTCTTGCGCTTGGAATAAATTTTGTTTGTTGCTTTATGTGATTAAGTGACTGAATTGAGATTTTATAAGTTACTAACTATATGGATCAGAATCCTTATCGAGAAATTTATAGTCGCTTAGCTAGTATTTTATTGAACCGTATTCACAAGGCTCAATGTGACATTTTGTAGCATGCTTATTTTTACTGTGAGTTGTTACACTCTTGACCAAAACTCAAGCTGGAGGATTATCTCATATCGCCTGTCCACTGTACCTCTTCAGTATATTCCATATCTGTAGAAAATATGACTTAAAATTCTCCAGTCTTTCTTAGTTACGAAAGAATTCTGTGAAACTGTCAGAGAACGTACAAAAATGAATTACTCAAGTTGAAGCCTATCTGAAGAGGAAACTGGTAAAAAAATTGTGATGTCCGAGTGAGGATGATATATAGATTTTTGAAGGGAATTTCTCGGCTTTACGTTTGCGGCGTTGTAAGAAACATTGAGAAGCTTTGGGCAGATAATACTTGTGGAAGCCACCTGGCCTTTGTTCGCGAATCTCTTTAGGTACACTGGTGAGAGTTTGGGCTCTTATTACCAATGACGTGTTTTCTTTCCAAAACTAATTCTTCAGTGTTATGACAGGCAGTGACACGTGATAATAAGAATGAAACTGAGCCTTCACGAGAGCAGACATAGGCGTTCTTTATTTACTTGGAAACATTAACGGCAAAGCTGATAAGAAACCTTATTTAAGTATTCACTAACTCACTCTATGGTGTATAAGTTTCTTTGAGCAGTTGGCTTTCGGGTTATCTGAAAATTTCCTTTTAATTGAGACGTCCATTCGTAATAGTATACACAAAAGCATAGCTTACATTTAGTTCCATATTTTTTATTTCGAAAGTATGCCGATTCGAATCTCGGTCAGCTTACCACCTGTCCTGAATGAGATTTGTAAAATTGTAAAATAGACCACGACCGTCCCCTCGAAATCTTTTCCAATTCATTATTGCTAAAATTAATATTAAACACTGTAATCCACAACCACTTTCTCCAGGATCCATTTTACTATGTGTCGATGGAAAATCCTGGTACTAAAGTCATGTCGTACATAAATACAGTATTATTAGATCCTTTCAACAATAGTAACAACAATTTTAAGTTGTTGTTATTATTATTATTATCATCAGTATAATATAGTAAAGATTACTTTTGTATTTCTCCAATTTTAGTGGTCTGGTTCAGCCCTTAGACTGGCTTTTCCGTTAGGTTTTTCGTAGTTTTCCTTAGTCCCTCCAGGCAGTTGACGGGATAACAGGCCACGACCACTTCCTTTCCTTTCAAATTTATGTCATTCGACGCAATAAAGTTTGGGCTATTCAACAGCGTAGTTGAATAAACAGTAAATAAATATTTAGTGGTTCGGTTACGCACAGTGTGTGAATAAGTAGTGTTCGTATTTCGAGATATCATACTTTCTCTCTTTAAATCATGTTATTTTGTTATTTATTTGGTTTACAACTATTTGGTACCATTCGTATTAAAATTAAATACTTAACAGTTTCTCTAATAGTTTTACGTTTTATAGATGTACCTTCATTCTTACATGGAATATCAAATGAAATTCCTTCTGCCGATACGTAATTACACCTCGTAAAACCATTGTAATAAATATATCGTCTCCTCCTTTCGTCCTTTGTCTTTCAGATACGAAGTTAAACTCTCCTTGTACTACATATCTGGGTCAATTTCTTTTTCCAGGAATCCGTTTGTTGCATGCA